AATCAAGCTATTGTGACACCAGATGTAATTGGTGGCACTGACTGAAATGGGCACAGTATGCGCACAATGAGCCTGACACAAGAAGCTGGCAGCAGTGGCAGACAACTGACTGCCTATTCAATCTATAACAGTGAAAAAAGTTTTTTGTTTTTAAATCCGAAGCTATTGTGACACCAGATGTAATTGGTGGCACTGACTGGGGAAATGGGCACAGTATGCACTGTGAGCCTGACACAGAAGCTGGCAGCAGTGGCAGACAACTGACTGCTATTCAATCTATAACAGTGAAAAAAGTTTTTTGTTTTTAAATCCAAGCTATTGTGACACCAGATGTAATTGGTGGCACTGACTGGGGAAATGGGCACTGTGAGCCTGACACAGAAGCTGGCAGCAGTGGCAGACAACTAAGTGCATTTACATTAGATAGAAAAAAAAAATCCAAAAAAAGCATACCCTTATCCCTAACCTAGCTATGCTTTTCCCTATCTTATGAACAGCAGCTACACTTTCCCTCCTCTTACTAAGCATGCAGCTTGAGAATGAATCTAAAATGGATGCTGTCCAGTAGGTGGGAGGGTCTGCTAGGGAGGCTGTGCTGCTAATTGGCTGGAATGTGTCTGCTGACTGTGAGGTACAGGGTCAAAGTTTACTCAATGATGACGAATAGGGGGCGGGTCGAACCGCGCATATGTTCGCCCGCTGTGGCGAACGCGAACATGCTATGTTCGCCAGGAACCGTTCGCCGGCGAACCGTTCGGTACATCACTACCTGTCAGTTTTACATTAAAGCAACAGTACCATGCCGGATGCGATTTGATGGCAGGATCACTAAGAAAATTGAGTGTATTGCGGTGTAACCTTCACAGGGATACATATATGTATATTTTCTGTGCCTAGTGTACATATGGAACGTGGGTGTCCTCTGGGTAATTTTTCATGACACACCACCTGGGATGACTCCCAGATATGCATGCAATGCTTGTAAGGTGCCAATAAGTATAATATGGGTGTCCTCTGGGTTACCATGGCACACCACCTGGGATGAACCCAGCCTAATAGACATGGGTCCTGCGGCTGCAGACCTTATGGAGACAGGCCCCATGCGCCTATATAGTAAGCCTGTGTAGTTAAAACCCTGCATACAGCTCTGGCGTACATTTGTGGTGAACCCGGCTAGCCAGACCGACACCACTACCAGGCAGTCGCGCCTGCACCACGGCTCTCAGTAGCCAGATTAAACTAATAGAGGTGACCCCTCTTTTTACCTGGGTGATCCCCAGTTCTACCAGGAGTCTAACACCCCTACGTGCTGACCCCCACACTATCTCCCAACAGGACGGGAACGAGTCATGGTGGACACTCTCAACGTTCCCAAGATTTCGAGACAATGATAAACGCCACAGTAACGGCCTCAGTGGAGAAGGTTCTGTTATGAACTCTACCCCACACCGCTTGATGGAGACCTCAGGCCCACAAGCCTTCAAGTCAAAACGGCAAGGGAAGGGCTCCAGCCCCCCTGCCACTAAGGTCAAGGGCAAGATGCCCATCGAACAGACCAAATAGGCGGAACACCGGGAATCCAAACCCCGTCCGCCACAATCTTCCGACAAAAAAGACTATTACCCACCACGTACTTTGGACATGGTAGATGAGCGACACGAAGACAGCTCACCGTCTGAGGAAATGGAACGGCAAGACCTTCCCCACACTTCCTCGAAGTAAGTTAGGGAAACCTTACTCCGTGACGGCGGCTGAGGCAGAGATAACTGTAGCGGCACTAAACCAGAGTAGCCGAAGACGGAACGTTCCTGGACGAACACTATTGGCTGCACAACCCTCGGGGGATGGAAGGATGCGCACGCCTCAAGACCGAGTTGCCCCAGGGTACACAACTCAACCCTACCACCTCCAAATAATGGTCTCAATGCTCGATATGCCTCCTGGGCAACGTAAATGACGCACTATGCGCCGACAGACGCAAATCTGTACTGGGCCGCATCGACAACACACTATTGGACCTAGGAACGACAAGTATTCGGCCCAAAAGCACAAGGCCTACTATTCGACGTAGTGCTCATTGCAGTACTCAAAAAACACGTGAATTTATTCACCACACTAAACCCAGACCTCGCTAAAACAAGTCTGAACCCATCCGCTTCATCTACTAGTGTGTCAACCTACATAACTAACTGTTTCCAATATTATGACCGGCAACCTGTCTCTGTTTTACAGAATTGGGAGACGACTACCAAAGTCACCTGGGTTCTCCAGACAGTACAAGGTTATGTCATAGAGTTTTATCACAGCCGTACAGGTCGCCCCTTCACCTCCATTACGCACGCTGGCGGAACAGGAACGCCTCGTGGACAAGAAAATCTGCACCCTCTTCAGGAGGTGCGCAATTCAACACGCAACGGAGGGGAAGGCTTCCCCAACAAAATTTTCCTGGTCAAGAAGAAGCCAGGAGACTACATCAATGGAACTCCTACATGGTATAAAAATGCTGCAAGATGGAGGAAATTCGTCTTCTACAAGACCTCCTAGGCGATAACGACTGGTTTACACATCTAGACCTCAAGGACGCACGCTTGTCGGTACCCGTTGCCCTGGACTGCCGAAGTTTTCCTCCGATCCCGATGGTGAGGACAAACACGGCAGTTTACGACTCCGTGGTGCTCGCGAACCTACTGTAACCAGTGAGGGCACACATCCGCAAATTTGGGCGTGCGATGCCTCGTATACCTGGAAGACTTGCTGATTCTTTACGAATCCAGACTACATTTGCAGACAGATTTGTCGTTCACTTTCGGGACTCCAGGGATTTTTTGTTGTACACAGACAAAGATCGCTTCTCCATCTGAATCGGGCCAGTTCCTCAGTTTCGACATCGGCTTGGAGAACTAAGTTCCGCGTCAGTCTACGGCAAAGAGCGCCTCTATAAGGATAACTGTCGGATTGTGGGATTCCTCTCTTCCTCTCCTCCTCCATACAAGCGTTATTCCCTGGCCCACTACGACTGATGGTGAGATACATACGCACCGCTCACTCATATGACCACTGGATCCCACTGTCGGCGGAAGTGAGGATGGAATTTCGATGGTGATTACTTCACATACAAACTTGGATTGGCAAACGATCTTTGACTCTTCCTTCGGATACGGGGCGATGGATGAACCCCTGCAAACGCGACCCAGCCGTTTCTCCACAATAGCAAAGGTGCTTCAATACACACACACACTCACAAGATATCGCTCCTGCTCATGACACCCCTCGGGCAGGGCCAACCGTGATTTCCCGGATCGCCTGGAGATGTCTCGCGAAGACCCTCTACTACTCCCTACCTTCCCTCTACTTCTGACGGGACCTCGAGGGGGAGCCCACTCCCTTGTCATGGAAGGACAACTGACACTAGTTGCCTGGACGGCTTCAGGGGCTCCTGGTCAGATCACGACCTATTGCATCAACTAAGACCTCCTATGGGACTCATAGGCTCCCGGCACCAGGAAAGGCTATATTTCTGCCTGGTCGGCCTGGAGTGATTGGTGTGTGGAAAGGGATTCCGATCCCTTTACCGCACCTGTCCCACTGATCCCCAACTATCTGTCACACCTGGTCTCGTTGGGTCGGTCATATCGATCCCTCAACATGATCAGATCCGCCATGTGGGCAGCGCACGTTCCGGTACAGAGCAGACCAGTAGGTCAAGATACACTGGTTTGTCGACTACTGCGGGGTGCCGAATTGTCGAGATCCCGGCACCCAAATATTCACGCCTCTGGCAGGTGGATGTGGTGCCGAGATTCCTTAGGGAATGGCCGGACAATCCTTGTTGGTCACTGAAGCAACTTTCAGCCAAACTAGCCTTCTTATTATGCCTCGTCTCATTTAGACGGTGGCGGACGTTAGGGCTTGCGATATGGATGGTTTCTCTCTCACACCAGACGGGGTTACCTTTACCATGTCGAGACAAACTAAGTCTGATTCGTCTTCAGTGTCATACCCATGCTTTGTGTCAGACGCCACACTATGCGTGGTCAGAACGCTAATGGGGTACACCAATATCTCTACCCCCTTCGAACTCACTCGACGGATCACCTTCTGACTTCTTACGTAAACCCTCATGGACCGCTGTCTACCGCAACACTGGCCAGATGGGTCCGCGGGGTTTTGTCTTTAGCGTCGAACCTTGTTTCGGAGCCCACTCGGTCAGGGGAGCAGCGGCCTCACAAACCTTTTCGGCCGACGCTTCCCTAGCCGACATTATACGCTGCGCGGACTGAGCGCGAGAGAGTACGTTTAGAACGTTCTATTTTCGGCAAACATCTCATGCTTCCTTCACATTGGTCAATTCAAAGCTTTAAAAATGCAAATATGAAGCCTCCTGTCATGTGGTAAAATTGAAGATTATACTAGCTTTAGTGTACTAATAATCTTAATTTTAGTAATGACAGGAGGCGAATATTTCCCACCCTATAGGATCCCTCCCATGTTCCTCGTGTTGAACAGAATATGTCCTTTATGTTCAGGAAGGTAAGTACGTATGGTTTGTATGTTTGCTACTTAGACCTGTATCTTGTGGGTCTTGTATTGGCTGAATATTAGACGTGAACCTTGCATTATGTTGTGTTTATAGATTCTTAAATATCATTGCGTTAGAATAAATATATATTGATATGTTTCACACTCTAATGTTCGCTGGTATGTCAGATGCTTAATGCTTATTGTATGCGGACAAGTTATCACGCCAGATACCTTTCACCTTTTTCCTTTTCTTGCAGCGTGAACGTCTTCTCATCGTGACAAAGATTCACCTTCTATACCTCTGCATCGCGGAACTAGTGGAGTTGGATATTCTAATATGTTGTTGAACTGTTGACGTAATATGATTATGTCTCCTATTGCTATTTATTGTTTCGCTTCAAAGAAAGAGGAAGTGATGTCATAGACAGGGCCTTTTATGGGCATTATATCTTTTTTCTGATTGGTTGTTTATGTTACTATGCTGCTGGAGTTTTGAGTAAAGAAAGATATGCAAATATTCGCCTCCTGTCATTACTAAAATTAAGATTATTAGTACACTAAAGCTAGTATAATCTTCAATTGGACTCCAAAATATATATATATGAAACCAAGAGGCTACACTCCACCTGCGTGCTATATATATAGTTAGTACAATGTTAAACAAAAATCTGCACACCAGTCAAGACTTGCTTTTCCCACAGAAAATCACAATCACAATTTTTCCCCACCTTAACCTATTTGGATTTTGCTTCCCAAACACTACCAAGCCTCAATAGCAAATCAGTAACCAACCTCATGCTGATGAGCTGCAGTAACAATGAAACAGCTGTCCATGAGTGGTCCACTGGCTTTGCATCTTTTCCTAAGTTGTTTTTCAAAGCTGTAAAGCTGTATATAGCAAACACAGACTCAAAGAAATCCATGTTTATAATGGAATGAGGCAAACATTTGCATATGCCCACCCAGAATCCTTTACGGTAGTAACATCACTACAGATTTGTGATTTCTGGGAGAAAAGCAAGTCTTATGGCTTGACTGGTGTGCAGATTTTTGTTTAACATTGTATTAACTATCCACAGACTTCAGGTGGAAGCGGTTTTCAATCACAATTTTCCCCCACCATAACCTTTTTGGATTTATATAATATTTTAGTTTCTGTAGTACTCTTGCTTATTATGCAATGCTATGAGAATCCAGAGTCAGAAAACCTCATCAACTTTCAGCATCAGAGAGTAAAGTTAAACAAGTCTAAACATGTTAGGAATGGGTTTAGCAAAACAAACATAAAAAACAGAAAGCTCATTTTAGAGCTATTGTGAAAAGTGGAAAAAGCAAATGGGCTTATGTGTGTGTTTGTGCATAAGGCCTTGAGAGAAATTTCAGTTCCATTGGCCTATATACTGTATTCATGCAGTGTTACCATATTTGTTCCAGTTGGTTGCACCTTGGGAAGTGCTTTTGTACCTGAAGATTCTGGATGTTCCTAATGGGTTCCACGATTTCAGCAGGTGTAGTCCATCCACTGCAGATGTCATTCTCAGTGCCTCCATTTAGTCTGCTCAATTCTTACTTAATCTTATTCATTCCTGTTGACTATTCATTAAAGTTAACTAAATAAGGCAAAATTAATTAACGAAAAACACCAAGCACCAGCCAGTTTGACATCTTAAAGTGGGCTTGTGCAGAGCACTTTTGGCACTAAAACCACTACAGTGGTCTTTATTGGTCTGTTACTTCAAATTTCTTTAGCTTTCCACTCACAAAAACCTCCTAGACAGTATAATTCATTTATAATACACTATGATATATATATATATATATATATATATATATACTGAGAGAAAAGGACATTTTTTGTACACAGAAAAAGTCTTAGATCTTTGAGTTCAGCTCATGAAAAATAGGAGCAAAGGCAAGTGTGTTTATAATTTTGTTCAGTGTGTGTGTGTGTATGTATATATATATATATATATATATATATATATATATATATATATATAAATACCTTGTAGGAAAGCACTCACAGGACTTGATATGGTTAAAAAAATGCTTCTTTATTGCAGCAAAAATTTCAAGTACAAAGTGTCAACGTTTCAGTTCCATCTGGACTTTTATCAAGTCCAGATGGGACTGAAACGTTGACACTTTGTACTTGAAATTTTTGCTGCAATAAAGAAGCATTTTTTTTAACCATATCAAGTCCTGTGAGTGCTTTCCTACAAGGTATTCTATATTATGGCCAGCATTAGCACCAAGGCATTACAAGACCAGGAGCAGTGAGTGCGGGACACGAGTAGTTTGTGTGTGTGTGTTTGTGTGTGTGTGTATATATATACAGGGAGTGCAGAATTATTAGGCAAATGAGTATTTTGACCACATCATCCTCTTTATGCATGTTGTCTTACTCCAAGCTGTATAGGCTCGAAAGCCTACTACCAATTAAGCATATTAGGTGATGTGCATCTCTGTAATGAGAAGGGGTGTGGTCTAATGACATCAACACCCTATATCAGGTGTGCATAATTATTAGGCAACTTCCTTTCCTTTGGCAAAATGGGTCAAAAGAAGGACTTGACAGGCTCAGAAAAGTCAAAATAGTGAGATATCTTGCAGAGGGATGCAGCACTCTTAAAATTGCAAAGCTTCTGAAGCGTGATCATCGAACAATCAAGCGTTTCATTCAAAATAGTCAACAGGGTCGCAAGAAGCGTGTGGAAAAACCAAGGCGCAAAATAACTGCCCATGAACTGAGAAAAGTCAAGCGTGCAGCTGCCACGATGCCACTTGCCACCAGTTTGGCCATATTTCAGAGCTGCAACATCACTGGAGTGCCCAAAAGCACAAGGTGTGCAATACTCAGAGACATGGCCAAGGTAAGAAAGGCTGAAAGACGACCACCACTGAACAAGACACACAAGCTGAAACGTCAAGACTGGGCCAAGAAATATCTCAAGACTGATTTTTCTAAGGTTTTATGGACTGATGAAATGAGAGTGAGTCTTGATGGGCCAGATGGATGGGCCCGTGGCTGGATTGGTAAAGGGCAGAGAGCTCCAGTCCGACTCAGACGCCAGCAAGGTGGAGGTGGAGTACTGGTTTGGGCTGGTATCATCAAAGATGAGCTTGTGGGGCCTTTTCGGGTTGAGGATGGAGTCAAGCTCAACTCCCAGTCCTACTGCCAGTTCCTGGAAGACACCTTCTTCAAGCAGTGGTACAGGAAGAAGTCTGCATCCTTCAAGAACATGATTTTCATGCAGGACAATGCTCCATCACACGCGTCCAAGTACTCCACAGCGTGGCTGGCAAGAAAGGGTATAAAAGAAGAAAATCTAATGACATGGCCTCCTTGTTCACCTGATCTGCACCCCATTGAGAACCTGTGGTCCATCATCAAATGTGAGATTTACAAGGAGGAAAACAGTACACCTCTCTGAACAGTGTCTGGGAGGCTGTGGTTGCTGCTGCACGCAATGTTGATGGTGAACAGATCAAAACACTGACAGAATCCATGGATGGCAGGCTTTTTGAGTGTCCTTGCAAAGAAAGGTGGCTATATTGGTCACTGATTTGTTTTTGTTTTGTTTTTGAATGTCAGAAATGTATATTTGTGAATGTTGAGATGTTATATTGGTTTCACTGGTAATAATAAATAATTGAAATGGGTATATATTTGTTTTTTGTTAAGTTGCCTAATAATTATGCACAGTAATAGTCACCTGCACACACAGATATCCCCCTAACATAGCTATAACTAAAAACAAACTAAAAACTACTTCCAAAAATATTCAGCTTTGATATTAATGAGTTTTTTGGGTTCATTGAGAACATGGTTGTTGTTCAATAATAAAATTAATCCTCAAAAATACAACTTGCCTAATAATTCTGCACTCCCTGTATATATTGAACTTGGAATTATATAAATTAAATCTGAATACTAAAATTTAAACAGAAATAACCAAACTGTGAGTATAGTAGACTATACCTGAAGGATTTTTTTTTTTCCAGACAAGCTATTTTTGCCTCACTTATTCCATTCAGAATTAATTTTCAAGCATTTGAAGTTTAGAGAATAACCCTGACAGACTCTAAACCCATCACACCCAAGACTGTTGACCAATGAGGTTATTACTTACTGCTAACCCAGCTGTTTATGTGAATTCATAATTTTTTTTCCAGAGGGTTTTAAGATTCTAGAAAAAAAGGTTACACTATTTTGGAGAGAGAGGATTGTCAGACATGTCGGACAAAAATCTCGTACTATGAGCCTAATACATAAATATTGGGTCAGTAAGGTGTTTTCATCTAATATATAATTCTGGCTACTTTTCAAATATGCAGAAGGCTAACTTTTTGGAAGTATGAGCATGGAATAAATTGCAACACTCACCATATAATACTGCCAAAAAGCTTTTTATTGTAAAATATGGTTTTGCCTTCAAAAGTGGAATTAAGCTTGTTGTTTGTAAAATGCTGATGGTCCTAAGGGATATATTTATTATCTCTAAATGGGGAATTGTGCAAAATCAAAAAAGAAACACATTTTATAAAGAACTTAAGGTACACAACAAGATGTTACTTACAGGAAGTGATATTGGTTTAAAGAGCAGCACAATTAGTATTAGATCTTGCACAATTTCAGCTTGATTTACTAGAGAATGATATTGTAGTATTTGCAAAATTAGTCTATAAATGCTACTTACTAACTTGTCCAAGGGGCACCCCATACAATGTTTTCAAGACTTGCTTGGTAATATGTGTGACCACATTACTGGGCAAGTCCAAATTACATAATGCACTGTGATTGGTTGATTTTACAAGCCAGACAATCATGGTTCACTAAGAAAAATTCAAAGGAATAAAAAAGGCTCTGAATTTCAGTCACTGGAAGGGATGGTTTATTCTTTTTGTGCATGCAGTATTTTCTTTACAAACTTTTGTTTTGTGATTCAGTTTAAAAAATATATATTTTACAAATGTTGCATCAGGATATATTCTTGTGAGCCTCTTCACTAATTCCTAATAATGAGAAAATAGGTAGAATTATACTTTTTGGAATGGAGTGCATTGTGGCAAGGAGCCTCTAGACACCATGTAGCAGGGTGATATTAAGAACAAGGGAAATGGGAAACTCCTGGTCCCAGGCCCGGATTTGTCATCGGGCAAACTGGGCAAATGCAATGTCCACTCTTCCTGGCCAAAGGTAAGAAGGAAATGGTGATATTTAAAGTTTATTTATTTATTTATTTTAAAATGAATATATAACAATAAATCATCTACCTGCCTACACACACAATATAGGCCTATACATCCCACCCCATTCACACTCTGAATTCCTCAGACACACACCACACACTGTGTTTCTCTCTCACACACACACACACACTTCACCCCTACACTGCACACTTTACACACACTCTACCCCATACACACACTACACCATTTACATAAACACTGCACCCCACAAAGACACACTGCACCACCAAAAACTTTACACCCCTACACTGCACCCTTCACACACACACACCCACTGTACCCCTCACACCCACTACACCCCTTTACTACACCCCTCACACACTGCACCCCATATAGATACACTACATCCCACACACATATACTGCACCCCTCATACATATTCACTGCACCCCCTACACACGCAGTGCATCCCACACACTGCACCACATTGAACCTGTCACACAAACTGAACCCCTATAGACAATACATATCTTATACATTCACTTAGCCACTTACACATACTACAATCCATCGTATGCAAGAGCTCTGCAGCAGGACTCTACACATGAGCTGCCTTGGAAGAGCATGCTCACTTTGAGTAGGGGGGGAGGGAGGGCTTGTCATTGTGATGATAAAACACCCCTCTCTGGCCCTACTCTTTTTCAGTGGTCCGCTGTGTAAAATAGGTATATTTTAATAATTTTACTTTCACCTTCACTAAAAATCATCTCATTGCGCTGCTCTGAAATGCAACATTGAAATTGTTAATTGGCAGGGTGGAATGTGGCACAATTATATGCTGGGCATTCACAACGTACATTTTGTAACTTTGCCATATTCAAAGTTGCAACAGTAATGAAGTGTAGCTATTTGCAGCTATAATCAATGATTTACACCAGTATTTCCCAAGCATAGTAGAATCACAGATTTTTTACTGAAGTCTGAGCCCAACTCATTTTAGCAGCTATGACTCTTTATTAGTAACCACCAAAGCAATTTGTATAACTTGAAGTGTTTTTGATTTAAATTTTGTTTGCAGTGGTGGAACAATAAATTAATTGGGCAACCTACTTTTGACTAAAATCTGCAATTCTTTTGTCACTTCTCTTCAATGACTTTTTAGTCATTATCACTGGTGTAATAATTCCATATATACCAGTATTCATAATTCAACCACAGTAAAAGTTTTGCAACTAATTTTGTAATTCTTGATCTCAGAACCTAAGATCGTCCCATGTTTTTTAGAAATTTTCCATGAAATAATTCTGAGGCTGAGCCTTAACATGACAAAACACTAAAGTTCAATCCTTTAAAATTTCTCTTTGTGGGATCTTTCAAAGTTTCTAGACAACAAAGAGCGGAAGGAAAATAGTTAATGGAAGTCATATTTTAAAAATTATTCTGTTTGATTGGCTGTGAATATTTTACTCTCCTCAGGAACCTCCCCAATTGTACCAAGTTCCACAGATTTGTTTCTGCTCTTCTGACGAAAGACATTAGTCACCTTCCGAAAACTGGGGGCTTCAGAAGAGGTCCCTTCAAAGACCTTGGCCATAAATCCAACCCCAGCAGTTCTTATGAAGGAACCACCAGCAAATGTGTAAAGCACAGGGTTGACACTACTACTGAAAAAGGCCAGTGCAGTAACATTGGGACGAGCAAATAGAGCTGCACGTCTGAACTTCTCTGCTGTGTTGGTACTTGATATTGTCTCTCCCAACACTTGTATAAGATTAATCATTTGATAAGGAAACCAAAACAGAGCAAAACTGACAACGATAATTATAACAAGTTGACTTGTCTTTTGCTTGCTTTGAAACTTTAAACTCTGTAACCGTATGCAGATATAAAGGTAGCAGAAAACAATTACTATGAACGGGAAGAGAAAGCCAAGCAAAAACTCAAATAAGTACTGAAAGACAATGTGTCCAGAACTTTGGTGTGTGGGATTACACTGGCTTGTATCCGCATGTAAACTGCGATAAAATAACATGGGGATGGCCAAGAGTGTGCTTAACATCCATATTGCCAAAACCGAAGTCCTGATCACTGTTTTTGTCCTTATCTTCTGAATAGAAAAAGGTATAACCACTGCAAGGAAACGATCCACACTCATGAACGTTATGAGGTAGATGCTGACAAACATGCTCAGACATCCAATGTAATGGCACAGCTTACAAACAACACTACCAAAAATCCATTTGCCAGAGACCAGAAGATGAATGAAGAACGGTGCTGTAAGGAGTACAATTATATCTGCTATGGCTAAATGTAAGATAAGGATGCAGGTTACAGTTCGATTCTTTATACGAGTCAACACAGTCCAGATGATGAAGGCATTACCTGGAAAACCAATAATAAATGCTATTGAGAGGATGGCTATTCCAAGACTTGAGGAGAATTGTGTTGGACGTTCAGTGGAGTTTGTAGGAGAATAATTAAAAGTAGTCTTCAGAGGAGAAACTGTAGTCTGCATGAGAACAAGTAAAGACTTAAGTTATAATCTCTTAAAATAAGAAACGTAAACAAGATTTAAAAATAGTGTAAACACGGCAAATATATAATACAATGTAATTTTACAGAAGTGATATTTTATATGCAGATTTTGTTAACAGAGGCATAGTAATACAAATACTGTATATTTAAAAAAAATTGTAAATATCCTTCAATGCTTTAAGGTGTAAAGTGTACAATATACCATTCACACATACAAATGAATTAAAGCAATTTAACAAATCCTGAAAAGGTCATGGTAATTCATTATGGAAAGCAAGGCTACCGTTGGTGTCATTGAAGTGAGGTGCCTAGTTATAATGTTGACACAAGTCAAAGACTTGTTAAAATATGTGCAGCTAAGTACTTTGAGATCTGAACAAAATAAAAAAATTTTTTTTTCACAAATCACTATTGTGTACTGGGAGACAGGAACAGTGGACCTCCTCGTACCATAATCTAGGCAAAAATCATAGGCTCAAAAAGCAGTGCACATGAGCCAAATTATCTTGGTGAAATAAGAGGTGCTAAATGAATCCCTTATTGTGACTGAGAAGAATAAACAAAGATTCCAAAACATTACATTTTATAAACTTAACTGTAAGACATAGCTATAAATTCTGCTCTGGGCATGCCTAGAAAAATTACAGGGACTTTCCAAACACCGAAGAACTTCATATAAATAAAATTGTTATGGTGCCAGGAGGCCCCCAGAGGTATTCTTGCCTCCACCGCTGATATCAGCTCCGTCCTTAGCGGCATCCGGCTTCTGAATTTTCAGATTCAGGAAGCGGGGAGTACCGCTAGGCAGGGGTGCCGCTGATTGGCTTAGAGTGGTCAGTTGATGCTCTCAGCCAATCAGTGACTCCTCCTTCACTAAACTGGCTTGCAAAAGGTACATGTCTTTCCTAGCCAGTTTTGTGAATGGGGAGTCACTGATGGGCTGAAAGCATCAGCTCCCAGCCAATCAAGGGTGTCCTGTCCGGCAGCACTCCACACTTACCGAAAGTGACATTTCAGAAGCCGAATGCAGCTGGGGAAGGAGGACATCAGCACTGGAGGTAACTTTGGGGTTAAACTGTTCGAGAATGGTTTAACCCCTTGAGGTAAGAGTGTTTCCAGGGACCTTCTGGTACCATAACCTGGAGTGTCCTTCTAAAGGAATATATTAACATACAAAATAAACACTTCAACAAGTTGAAAAACACATTGAATTTACATTTACTCCAGTGTTGGGACTGTCTCCTTGTAGCAGCCTTATCTGTCTACTGTCCTACTCATGGAGAATCAATGAGGACCTATGGTGCTGCAATTACTGAAGTGTTCCTGTAATGCCAAATTCATGTATAATGTTTAAATTAGCCAAAATTGCTGTGTTGGAGAATTATTCTACATTTGTCTGTTTTGAACTAAAATGTTTGATTTGCAGTCAAGCAAACACATATTACCTGTTTGCCTTGAGGAAAAAATGTCAGGGGCTCATTACTTCCAAATAAGCAATTGAAAAATAAAGAAAAAACAAAACAAAGAAAATCCATGAATAAAAGTAAAACAGGCTATATTGCTAAAATACACTGGCAGTCCTAATATGGGTGTGACTCATGAGACATTAACTAAAACAAGATAATAAATGAGAGAGCATCAATTCCTACACATTATAAATAAAAACAATGATAACACTATATACAGCAAATGTGTTTCTTTTTAAAAGAAATGAGAAGTGATGTACCCTAGAATAAAGTGTATCTGTAACTGCTACTTACTGTCTCTGTCATCGTGTCGTACTGTCTCAATCCAGGTGTGACTCTGTTCTAGGCAGTGTGAAAGTGTCTCCACTTGAGTAATCGTAAATGGAAAAGCTGTATCTGCTCACACACGGACACATACTGGTAGGCAGGATATTACAAACTGTAACGTGTGTGACACACCAAATCTTAACTAATAATGATGTTGTAATCTCAATTTGTTTCATAACTGCAGTAGCAGAAACTGAATTAGGAAGTACATTTATAGTGGCAAACAATGGTTGCAAAGCATTTCAAATCAGTCAAACAAAAAAGGGTTTGGATTTTTTTTTTTTTAAACCAGAGACAGGTTTGTCTTTAGTAACTGAAATGCAGTTTTCCCACTGAAGTCTAGAAGGAAATGCTGATATTTATCAGTCTTAGGATATCAATCATTATATTGATACACTATATTTAAAAACATGTATTCCTGACACTACAGTGTTAAAATACCATCTAGATCCCCTGCCCCCCTTATTACTCCCCTAAATATAGTAAAAAAATTGTACGTTTATTCCAGTCTGATCTGGATCTACATGCTTGGCTGACATCATCAGAAGTGTTGATCTGAGCCAATCACAATGCTTTCCCATAGAAAAAGCATTGGATTGATTGAGCTTGTCAAGGGGCAGAGCCAGCACAAGCCAAACACAGCCATGCATCTCTATGAGTAAAGTTCAGCTTCTCCATGGTGAGGGTGGAGACACTGCATTGCACACTGTGCAGCACTGCCCCAGGAAGCACCTCTAGCAGCCATCTGAGGAGTGCCCAGTGGAGTAATTACTAGGCTATAATGCAAACACTGCATACTCTCTGAAAAGACAGTGTTTGCTGCAGAAAGCCTGAAGGGGATTATTATACTTACCAAAACAAATGCATTAAGCTATAGTTGTTTTGGTGACTATAGTGTCCCTTTAATAAATATATTTGTTAGGTATGAAAAAAAAATTGGATGTAGAAATATACTCTGCTGTATAAGTGTCTGAGAACATAAGTACCTCCATTATAATTCCCTGTCAATCATTGTTATAAGCTCTGCCCTTTGCACTTGTCAATCAATATAGAGAGAGCATAAAAGTAGGAACGGAAACAAAGTTTGCTTCTCATCCTCCGATGCAATGTGTGATCTGGCAACATCAGGATTGTACTGGGTTAAAGAGCCGGCCTGGCGAAACGCATGTTGGGGCTCGGCTCATACGCTTACTCAAGTCGGCTTCCTATACTATACATAGAAATCTCCCCCTCGACGGACCTTTACCGCTTTAGTGGACGATACAGACAGGAGATTTGAGTGTAGCCGTTCTGCTTCTGAGGCTGTATTACCTGATCAGAATTATTTCACTAACGTTAGGAGCTACATTGTCTACAGTGCTAAGTCTGACCTTAGGATAGCAGAGAGTATATTTTGGTAATTATAGCTAATAGGTGCCCTTGAAGGCACAGCATAGGAACTCCTCAATTCTTAGACAGCTAGATACTTAGGCTTGTCGTCAGAATTGTTAGTAAGCAGGTGCCCACGAAGGCACACTTTAGTATTCTTGCTAAGGTCACTTTGTAACTTCTCAAGCTATTTTGCTTTCAGGCATCAAGTTTGTACTGAGGGAAGCATAATTACACTGGGTCTGAGATACTTATAATTATTGACAATACTTAGGAGGTGCCCATGCATGCACAACACGAGTATTAATTTACCCCTAAGACAGCCAGATACATAGGCTACACTGCCAGTACCTGCTACTAATGAGATGCCCTTAAAGGCACAGCTAAGTGTACCAACAAAATTATTTTAACTTACCTGCTACCAAATATTTTCATTTTTTTTCTTTCCTTTTCCTGTAGGGTCTATCAATTTATAGATTATCTGCACGATAGAACCTCCTTTTTCACTGTGTGATACCTATAGATATATTTCTTTTTTAATTAAAACAATAATGATTAGTTTTAAATATCATTTTTGTTTTTCATTTGTAATAATACGTATTACCAAGGGTTACTCCCTTAAAAGCCTGCATGAGCTAATTTTTCTTTCCATACTACATTTTAGACTGTAAGCTTGCTTGAGCTGAGTCCTCATCAACCTATATTTTCTGGCAAAATTTGTAACAAATTGTATCATTTGTTGTAAAATCCCCCCTACAGAATAAAGTGTCACTATATAAAGGATAATAATAATAAAAGTAAACAGAACGTTACTTGACATAAAAAGGTTAAAAAGACACCCTAAGTACCATAATCAGTTAAACTTAATAAAATGGTGTATAGATCTTTCCCCTGCAGCCTTCTATTAAAAACTGCTGTGTCTGAGGAATAGCATTGTTTTGATTTGATTTTCAAAGAAAGACATGGGCTCCAATGCCCGTTAGCAGGTGGGCAGCCCACACTTGCAAGCAGAACCCTCTTGGTTGCCGAAGGTTGGTAACAGGCACCTTTGTGGTCTGTGATGGCACAAGGGCTTTATTTGTTAATTGGGAATAGATCAAGACAGCGTCTGCAATGTCAAGTCCAGAAAGTCAAGTCAAGGAATCAAGTAAGGATATCTAAGGTAGGACAGGAAAATGGTAGGACATATCGGTTCAAGCCAGGAAATCCAAGCAAGGGGCATGGACAATCCGTACTGATGCATACTTGCAACAACAGTGATGCTTGGGGGATTGGTGCTGAAACACTACTTGCCACCAACAATGACACTGGTATGACGCCAAATGGAGAACATGGACACAAAGCTTGGCACAGAGACACCGTGGGCAAGTATGGTATCCACGCAACACAAAAGATTCCAAGGCACTTGGGATCCCTGAAAACATGTAAAAAGAAGAAAAACTTCCACAACAAGAGGACATAGTCTTAAATTAGAGGGAGAAAGGTTTAAAAATAATATCAGGAAGTATTACTTTACTGAGAGGGTAGGGGATGCATGGAATAGCCTTCCAGCTGAGGTGGTAGAGGTTAACACAGTAAAGGAGTTTAAGCATGCGTGGGATAGGCATAAGGCTATCCTCAGTGGCGTACTAAGGGGGGGGCGGAGGTGGCGGTCCGCCCCGGGTGCCACCAGGGTGGGGGGTGCCATGACCAGCCCCGCCTCCCCCCCCCCATGCTGCAGCCGCCCGAGCGCTCTGTAGAGAGCCTCAGGCGGCTGCAGCTTTGCCCGGGCGGTGCGTCCATGAGGAGAGGGGCTGACAGGAGGGAGCGCTCAGCGCTGAGCCCTCCTGTCACTCCCTCTGTAGTAGCGTGGCCGAGCCCTGTATAGTCGGCGGGTACAGGGAGCAGCTGTCTCCTGTATCCGGCCGGACTAACAGGAAGTGCACACAGTGTGTGCACTTCCTGTTAGTCCGGCCGGGTACAGGAAACAAAAGCTACCTGTACCCGCCGACTATACAGGGCTCGGCCACGCTACAGCAAAGGTAGGGGGGAGGGGATGAGAAAAGAGAAAGGAGGGGGAGAAAGGAGAGGGGGGGTGAGAAAGGAGGGGGGTGAGAAAGAGGAGAAAAGGGGGGTGAGAAAAGAGGAGAAAGGGGGGTGAGAAAGGAGGGGGGTGAGAAAGAGGAGAAAGGGGTGAGAAAGGAGGGGTGAGAAAGAGGAGAAAGGGGGAGGAGGGGTGAGAAAGAGAAATGAGGGGGGGGGAGAGAGAAATGAGGGGGTGAGAGAAATGAGGGGGGTGAGAGAGAAAGGAGGGGGGGAAGAGAAAGGAGGGGGGGAAGAGAAGCACAGGATCCGCCCCAGGTGCCAAATGCTCTAGGTACGCCCCTGGCTATCCTAACTATAAGATAAGGCCAGGGACTAATGAAAGTATTTAGAAAATTGGGCAGACTAGATGGGCCGAATGGTTCTTATCTGCCGTCACATTCTATGTTTCTATGTAGGATTTTCTCCATCCAGTAAACATGGCCACAGCCAAACAAATACATGTGTGGTAGTACTTAGTGCACATTTGCAGTTGCGCTTCCCTCATTTATTTCTCTTTCTCTGTTTTGCCTGCTAATGCTGACGCCTTTGCTTGAGCAGCAGAAATTAACTGAGAACGTCAGCTGATGCTTTCAGGCTAATGCTGGCAAGTAATGCTACAGAAAATGAGCTATTTCTATACTACAGTACTACAGAAGTAGTCATCTGTGCAATATTTTTCTATAATAAACAGGTAATAAAGCACAGATCACCTCCATGGGGATTTTATGACATCCAACTCTTACTTTGCTCAAGATTAGTGAGAGTTATCTTGCAAAGCAGCAGTTGAAAAAGCTGCCACCTAGGACTGTAACTCCCACTAATCTCAGGCAGTGGTGAGGGATCACAATGCTTGTTCTTAATCCCTACACTTTCACTAACCAATAACCAATACACTACTTTAACACACACCCTAACCAAACCTAAAATATCACTACTTCTGTCACTCAGCCAATGAGGTAGTGCAGCAAGGCCTGGCTTTGGAGAGTTAACACAAGCTCCTGCTTATGAACATGTGGCTCTCCATAGCTAGCAGTGGAGGCAGGGCACATTCCCAGTAGACACCAGGTAAGATGTCAAACCATTCTCGAAAGGTTTTGCAGATTGAATTTTGTCAAATTTACATTGAAGAGATCTCACACCCTAAGTTGAAAGGATCAGTAAGAGGTATTATTTGTTCAAATAAAAGCTTAATTATCTTTACTGAAGTCAAAAGCACCCCTAAGAAAAATTAATTCTTCAAATATCAACATAATTATCATTGTGAAAATTAAACGCATACAAAAAATAGAACAATTTCAAAAAGTTCCACAAAAAAAACAGACTGGATACGTGTCTTTTTTATGAAAACCAGATACAAAGTATCAATGTCATGCAGCTAACTTGTTGCTTTCTTAACTGTAAAGCTTGCAGATAACAGCAACTCTTCAGGCAAAGTTAGAAATGTGTTTAAGAATTATTCACTTATACTCTGTTTCTATGTTTTTCAAATACATCTGGAAACATTGATATCACAGTAACAGACGCTATTACGAACATCGAAGTCTTGC